TCTCTCTCCTCTCTCTCTCTCTCTCTCTCTCTCTCTATCTTTCTATCTGTCCATCTATCTATCTCTCTCTCTCTCTTTCTTTCTTTCTTTCTTTCTTTCTTCCTTTCTCTCGCTTTCTGTCCATCTGTTTGTCTGTCTCTTTCTCTCTCTCTCTCTACCTGTCTCTCTCTCTCTTAATCTCACCCTCTCTCTCCTCCTCCTCTTCCTCCTCTTCCTTTCCCTCTCAGATGCAGTTGAAATTATTTTTTAAATTCACATATTATCGTAGAATAGATTATAGTCTTCAGGGATATTGCCTATTTGTCCCTTGAGGTGTTTGAATTTCACGTCTGTGATCTACAAGGCCTCTGTGTTATGAGTTCCAGGTTTTTCAGTAGCTACCTCTGCATACTCCCTTTCTCGAGGATGATCCTTCAAACCCCTCATCGAACGTCAACTTGAAGGATCTATTCCGATCAAGGGTATATCTAAGACTACAAATGTCCACAGCATGTGGGTCACCTCTTCCACTTTTTTTATTGATTCTCATTTGCAATAATCCCTGAAAAATGTGTGATCAAGGTATTGACCTCAAAGAGTCTGGGGTTGCGCCTGGCTTTGCCCATAATGCTAATATAGTTCGCTGACAGGTAGACAGGAACACCTTTTGATGCTCGCTCTATCAGGTTATGGTAGGAATCAACATGCATATGAGTGTGTCCTTTGACTAGATACTTATGTTCCACTGTCTGGCAGTAGATGACAGATGCCTGAAGTAAAGGAGCAAGAAGCACAGATTCCAAACTCATACAGATGGCAACAGTCCTGACTCCGTCAGCTGAACCTTCATGAGACAGTTTCTTGTCTATCTCTTTGTCAGAAAAAGGCTCTTTCCTTCAGCCTCATGTGCTGTTTCATTGTCTCTTTGTCAATGTTTCCAACCCTGTGGGACCACATACGTCACACAGGCCCTTTTGGGGATGATTCAATACCAAATTGTTGTTATGAAACTACTTTTGAACGCTGTCAGTTCCTGGCCCTTGCACCCAGTTTTTCGACAATAGTAATACGGAATTTTGGTAATATTACAAAGAATTCATCTACAAGAACACTTTCTCATCTCTTCAAACAGAAGGGTGAATCTGCCTTTGGCAGCTCTGAATCTGACCCTGAAGAATCAGTGGAATTTTGAATCGTCTAGTCCCCTGAAGCTAGAGTAATGGTAAACATTTTCATGCTAAATGCTAAATCGAAAGCCTGATCAGTTACCCTACTTGTGTTTTAAAAAAATCAAAGTGAAACTGTGACTAGTTTTTGAATAAATTGGAGTTCAAATTTCGGAAGCCCTCTATTTTTACAATGGTTACGTTGATGAAAAGACCTCTTTTTCTGGAAACTGCTTTGAATTTAAGAAAAAGGCGTTCTGTCAGCTTACGACAGCATTCCTTCTATGTTTTGTCAACTTTTTTCAGTTCCTTTTTTATAATTATATTCTTATTTTCTCATTTCTAGGCATCAAGTGACCTAATGGATGTCAATGTCCTGATGGCCGTTCAGCACTTGGTGGAAGACTGTGATGAACGGACGGGACCCAAGCCTACTCTGCTACAGCATGTGTACCACTACATCCTGTTTGACTTCTCCTTGTGGAGCAGGACTCAGTTTGCCGTCAGGATAGGTGAGCTCTCCCTATCAGGTCATGGCTTGGGGTTTTTTTTGTTATTTTTTTAATAATATGTATTAATTTCTTTTGATCATATTATTAGTCATTTTTAAATTTTGTTTTGAGAAGAAAAAAGTAGTTTTACCAGTCACACAAAAGTCTTTTTTGGATCAAATTAAAACTTTAAATCTAAAGAAAAGAAACAAACTTTTTAAAAATCTGTATTGGGAAATTTTTTTAGCACTGACATGTGTAGTTCTACAATTTCTTGGGACATAATAATCATCCTTCATAATCGATTATTGGATTCGAAATCAAAGGCATATTTCAAGTTGTTTGAGCTTTTATATATATGACTTTCTTTATTGATATTATGTTTATTCATTTCTTTATATATAAAAATTAAGCCTCAAGACTAGTAAGATCATCTCTTTAGTCCCAAAAGATTTCATATTTGGCTAGTTTTCGCCATGTTTTGGGTGCGTGTTTTGTTGCATCACAACCTCTGTGTTTTTAGTTCAATACAGAACGGCTCATATTTTTTCACGTTTTTATTCTCAGTTTCTGCTCTGATGTTTCGTTTCTCTCAGGTCATATTCAGTATCTGTCGACAATTATCAAAGATGACAGAAAATACTTCCGAAAGAAATATGGGGTGCAGTTTTTCTTGGATGTCATCCGCACATACTACAGGTGTGTATTTTGTTCTGTATGTGTGTGAGTAGACAATATTTGAAAAGTTCTTTTTCATTGCTGTTGATAAGATAATAGAAATCATTACAATATACTGTGATCTCCACTTAAGAGAACTCGCAATTGAAGTTAAAAATAACCAATCCAAGGTAAACCAGGGTGGCTGGCAGTGTAATCAAGCATTATGTCATTTGAGTTAACAAAGGTTTTCTTGTTCCTCTTCAAATAGATTACACTAGAGTAAGGCTTGTTTGTCTTTGAGAAGAAGAAAACAGTGGGAAAACTATTAAATCCATATCTCCAGCAAGCCACTCCCAGCGGCTCACAGTCGGAACTGCTATGCCGATGAGCCTTGGCAGCGGCTTAGGTACATTCCTTTACGATGACTTCGACGTCAAATTACTTTTCAACAATTTTGAAAACAGGTCTCTTTTAGCAGGAGTTCATTCATTAGATGAAAAACTATCGAAATAGGTTCACTTGTTTTGATTTAATGACCAGTTTAGTGACGTATATGTCACATTCAGATTTCGTACCAGAACAGGCTCGCGACCTAGTGGGTTTACCCCCCTTGGAGAAAAAAAGTTAAGAAAATACGTAATCCAATTTTTCAGCACAACGGAGGACAGTTTGCTGGGTGCTGAGGACAGCAAAATGATTCGTGTGTCTCTGTTGAACCTCATCAAGTACTACATTATCAAAGACATCACCTCGGACGAACTCAGTCAGCTCACCAGCTTCATGTTGGCTGTTCGTGAGCCAACCTTGGTACGTGTCAGGACTACATAAATGCTTTTGGTATTAGTTGTTCCTATAGTAATTGTTTTCCAAGAAAATGTGAGGGTTTAAAAATTTTTTTTTTTTTTTTTAAAGAAAATGATGTAGACATGTCTTTTCAGATCTTGTTATATATATTGCTTACAGCTCCAGCGATTCTTTATTATTATGGTAAATGAATTCTTCTGTAAAGATTTTTATTCTTCCCTGTAAACTTATAGGTTTCAGAAATTTAAAGCATGCAAGATCCACACAATTCAAAGCAAATTGCAATCAACTCCAGCACTCCTGCACCAAGTTTTGGTGGCTAGTGAGCTGCCAAAATCCCGTAACACAAAGATATATTAACATCCTTTACAAACATGTATTGACTACTCACTTGACCATTGTGGCCTCTTTTTGTGAAGAAAGTTTGTGTTCATTTTTATTTTGTTACTCTTTTAATGCCACACATGGGTTTTTGGGGTCCAATTTGGGTCAAAAAATGTTTTTTGGGTTTTAAGAAACTTCCCTTGAAAATTATGTGCTAAATCGGATGGAGGTACACTCAAAGTTCTATTTCAAAGAGATAACTCCAAAAGTTTGTAACATTGTGAGCCAATACAATGCTTGAGAGCAGTTTTGAGATGTTTTTGCTCCTTTACTCAAAACGCTCCTTCGCTATGCATTATTTTGGACTTGTCAACAAATTTTTTTTGAAAGGTCGAAATGAGATGATGACAAAGTTCTTTGGGGGCCACAAGATAAAATAAATATCAACATATTAAGCCCCGAAATTTTCAGTATGATTTGTAGAATACATTTGAAATGTCTATTTGTGTATTTTAAAACTTTGGCGATTATGCAACTTAATTTTGCTTGGATGCTGATAAAATTTGTAAATAAAAAATGAATCATTTTTGGTGAAACTCGAAAAATTTGTTTGCCCCTAGTCAAATAATATGTCAAAATAATCATAAATGAATATAGAACTAGAATACTTTGAGAAAATGAAAAAAAAACAACTAAAAATGACTTAATTGTAGATTTTGGTGCTAAGAAGTAGAGTGTGGCCTTAAAAAGTAAAGCTTTGAGTAGTATTTTCCTTTCAGTGGTTATTTGTTTCCTTAGAGAACAAGATTTAATTTATATTTAACTATTCTTATCAAAGTTTCTTCACTATCTTGGTAATGTGTTCCAGATTTTATTTTTCTCCTGTCTTGCCACCCTCAGCTGTTGGAGGCCATGGACCTTCTCATCTCGCTGCTGGACAGCCGTAGCAGACGCCAGGACCAGCTCATTCTCTTGCTTTACGAACCAGAGCAGGCCGAACTCTTCTATCAGCTACTGACGTACCCAAGCCAGCCTATCATCTTCTATGAAAAAGTGGTCAAGGTATTGCAAGAGCATTAACCCATTTATGATACACTGGGCAAAATTTTGGGTCCCCAGGAACAAATGGTTGCGCCTGATTTTGAAGTCGATTGCCAGTAATTTATAAATAGGTAATAATAATAAAAGATGGCATTTGTGTAATGCAAATTCCTGCTCAACAACAAGCTGTATGTGCTTTACAATCTGTACTAATAGCCCAGCAGACCTGATAGCTTTCTGAAACAATTTCAACTTTCTTAAGGGGGCTCGTGGCTCAGGTCTAAGGCCTCGAGGACTGATTGCCGCTCACTCTGAGCACTTTATTCTTTTGGTGTTTTCCGATCCCTCATTCAGTCTAGATTTTATTGACACTAGTCGCTGAGTGATTAACATTAGCAGAATTCAATTTTATTGTGTGCTAACTTTTTCCATGTTTAACCTTGTTTTTCTCAAAACACTTTTTTACCACTTTCTGCTTGCATATGCCGTTTTTTTTTTCTCGCTACCTTTTTAAAAATTTTACAAAACAGATACTTGAAATTTGGAATATAGTTAGAGAAATGGTTTGTACTTGTAATGGGCTGGTTAGTTTTTTTCCATTTTGCTGTAGAATTTTTTAAATGCTAAAAATATTTTTTAAAGACCAAATTCCATATCTCCACAATTATGAGAACAATTTTGGATACTTTTTAAGTAAAGTATCAAAAATTAAGAAAAAGCCAGTTGCAAGCACCTATTTATTTGTTACAGATTTTAAAAAAGTTAAAAATTGTAGAAATGGTCCAATTTTCAAGATGGCAGCTGTTTCCATAGCAATGGCTTATGTAATCGAGTTTGTCAACAGTTGAACATGAATCTTTTGTCTCTTACTTTCTTCCTGTGACAAAAGTTGTTTCAGTTTGTCTTTAGTTAAAAATGTTGTCCCGTTAGTATCGAGTTCCCTTAAATACAAAAGAAAGTCTCTTTACTCTCTTTGGACGTAGTTGTTTTGGGCTCTAGACGTAATTATCTTGTGACTCGATTTGGCTACACAGGTGATGTACAAAATTACTTCATATAAGCATAACCATCACTCAAAATGGAACATATGATATATCAAATTGAAGGAAATTGATTAAGGAATACATTCCAACATGAAACAAGGATTAATTTTGAACATAAGTAAGCATTACAAGGGTTAGAAATGGCGATGGTGGTGAGAAAAATACATTTTGACGGAAAAAATTACGCACACTAAACGTGTGAAAGTGAATCAGCATAGCTATCTTATCATATACAGGCAAAGAGCAGAGCAGACTCCATAAATTTATGAATGTGCAGCTTTTTATTTGAATGCGATATACCAATTTTTGTTTTAGTTATGATATTTATACTGAGTCCGGTTAGATCGTTTTGCTGATGCAAGACCCCAAGAACTAGTTCACTCGTTTTTCGCCAGACCGAAGCTTTGATAAAGTGAAACTAGATGTTTTCATTTCCAAAATACTTTCCAAGTTTTCAATAACTATATCAAGAACTTATAAATAAGGGATCATGTTAAAACGAAACAAAACTGAGGCACCTCATCATAGCCGATATATCGGCGATACGTCTGCCAGGGGTGTGGACTCACGCCGGAAAGAGTTAAAGCACAAGTTTTGTCTGTAAGACAACAGTATCCGCTGAATGTGTTTTACAAAGTGCGTCTAATAGAAGCAGAGCAGTGAATGGAAAATATGAAGAACAGCACATGCCATTATGGTCCTCACACTTAGCTAGGCATGAAGAAAGTCGTTTGTCATAGCAGTTTCTTGCCTTTTTCTCCACATAAGAAAGAATGATGAACGTCGCTTGTCATGAAGGTCACAAAGGATTAAGTAGTGTTTCTCGAAACAATTTGGATTGTATTCCTTGAATGCAATATTGTTTTACCTGGTAACCCTGAATATATCATTAATAGTAGTTTAAAAAGTTCAAGATTGTTTTGTAACATCCATTGACCTTCTTGAACAGTGTTACTGTTTTGTGAATCATGGCTGAAAGAGTCTAATGAAGGAAAGAAGTTAAATTTCTGTATAAAACATTTTTTATTTGTCTTTAGAAGAAACACTGGCAAAGATTTACTCCTAGAGGTTGTGATCAAGTGTATTACTTTGAAAATATGTATCCTCTCTTTGGACAAACTGTTAGTGTATTATATTTTAATAAGATAACCGTTATTGATGTGGCTTATGATTGATTGATTTGACATTTTAATTGTCCTTAGGTTTTATACCTGTTGCTGAAGTCCGAACGAGTGTATGAGAAGAGCAAAAGCCGTCTCCGACTCGCTGAGGTAGGCCACTGGGGACTAGTGAACCTCATGTCCTCTTATGACATCTCTGCACCAATGATCAAACGTTTTATGGAGCAGGTCTCTTTTACAGGTGAGTTGTTGCAGCTATGAGGGAACAATAGTAGTGTTAAAATGCTCAGAACACTGAGATTTTATCTTTTGTCTTATATAGAGCATTTCTAATCTTTGGAAATCTTTTTTTGTTGTTTTTCTTATGCAAATGTTTGTTCAATTAGACTCTATACTGTGGAAGGAACTTGTCAATACTGCTAGTAAATCCTGAGTGGGCCTTATTGTTATTTTTGCTGTGCCCCCCCTTTTTTTATCTCAAGTATGAGACTGGATTTTGTCCATAAGTGCATCACCTTAAGTGAAATCCTGAATAGACTGTCAAAAAATAAAAGGTTTGTCGGATCTTCCCAAGCAATTCATAAATGAACGAAGGACTTTTTACTATGGCCTTGAAAAAAAATGACATCTTGAAAGGCAACTTAGGTGGCCTGACTGGTTTTATGATGGTTTTGATTCAACAGAAACTGCCCAGATGTATAGAGCAGTCCTGGCCATCCTGAGTCTTGTCCACAACTGTGGTCTGGACATCAAGTCAGAAGCCAGTAGACAGGTGAGTTTCTCCCTCTAGCTGGTCGAATAGTGTGTACAAACCAGTGTTGATTACTTGAGGTTGATGTTTCTCTCTCTCTCTCTCTGTCTCTGTCTCTCTCTCCTCTCTCTCTCCTCTATCTCTCTCTCTTTCTCTCTCTCTCTCTCTCTCTCTCTCTCTCTCTCTCTCTCTCTCTCTCCCCTCTCTCTCTCTGCCCCCTCCCTGAATAAGTATACATTCATCTACTGTAATATTTGTGTGGTCATTTTATTCTTCATTTTATATTCAGAATGCTCCCCAAATTTTTTTGTAAGTTCTGATTGTAGATGTAATAATTCTTTGAAGTTTTAGACTGCATTGATGTAGAACCTGAGTGGCATCCTGAGTATTTAAAAATTTCTTCACTGTTTCAGTAGTTAACTGTAAATCAAGACTTGAGATTTCAGGGTTTCATCAGTAGTTTTTAGGGGCTTTTTCATAAAGAAGGTTAGCGCGCTCATATGACCTTAGCAGTTGCGAGCGCCGTAAAACCCTATACTATACATACAAAGAAGGTTAAGCATCTGTAAATGAATTCTTAGGCCAAAAGGGGGGATATATTTTTTAATTTATGACTTTTTTGCCTTTGGTATATGGCCTACAAAGAATAGGAATACATCTTTCTGTTACAACTTTTGTTCTCAGCTTCTGGCTCTGATTGTATCAAAGATTGGAGCTGCCAAAGGATTTGCTAAGCAGCTGGGCTGGCAGGAGAACATCACTCGTCTGCTGACGCTTGAGCGCCGGCGCACCTTCAGCACGGTCAGCAGCGACAACATTAGCAGCACCAGTGGGGTCAGCGACCTCTCCAGTGTCCCCCCGTCTCTTGCGCAGCAACAGCAGCAAAATCAGCAGCAGCAACAGCAAACACAAGATGACAGCAGCGACAGCAACAACATCAGCGGCTCTACTCAGTCTGGTGTGGCTGCGGAGGAGGGGGAAGGGGATATGCCCCCTGCTGCCTCTTTGTCTCCCCCCTCCCAGTTGTCAACATCTCCCTTCACCTCAATGTCCTCCCCTCTGTCTGTGTCCTCCCCGGCCTCAGCAATGCCACATCCGGAGGTCAGGTCGTCAGACTCTGGTGCGCTGTCCTCCCCAGGCGTGTCCTCCTCGTCAGCCATTCCATCTACTTCTTTGAACGTTCCAGCTGCCCAGGGGCAGCCTGCACAAACCGTTAACTCGTCTTTCATCTCTGCCGGAGAGTCTACCTCCAAGGCAGCTGGAACTGGTGAGAATGTTGCCCTTTTTAATTAAGGAATTTGTCCTCCATGTTTAATCCCAACACAATTCCCGATTTTATTATGGCCATTGGTCTTTACTCCTGTATGTTTTTCTTGAATCTGTTCTCCATCGTTAATCCTAACAAAATTATCGATTTTATAAGCGCCGTTGGCCTTTTTCCAAAATGTAAAAAGTGTTATTTTTAAAATGTTAACTTTTGGTTTGTTATGAAATGAAATTTTTACTCTGTATTTTTAGATACTTCAACAATTAAGACATACAGTTGTGTCCTGCGTGCTCATATGGCCTGATGCATGCAGTTGGGAACGCCGTAAAACTTACGAAACTGAAACTGAACACATCTTTGCCCGGTCGTATCCACTCTTTGTCAAGTATAAAGATGAATGCATGTGGAAACCTATTATCATCTCTATTGAAGTTCCTATAGAATGTCCATCCATATTACTCTGTTCTTTTCTTTGTCTCTTCTCTGCTTTCATACGTTTGCTTTTCTAGTCAATATAAAAATGTGGTCAATCTGATTTTAGTGAGCACTTTTAGCCCATTTGTCCCTTATTATAATCTTATTTTTTTTCTGTTTGTGCCTTTGCAGCATCACCTTCCAGACCATCTGCCTTGGCCATACCGAGATCATCCACCTCCCCAGATCACGAACCTGTCTCAACAGATATCAGCAACATTGATAGTGTAGGTGGTGGTAGTGGTTGTGGTGGGTTAGAGGAGGGGGCGTCGGTGAACACCCCACACACGCCCTTTTATCTCCGCCGTGGCAGCAACATCTTTGAGGAGCTGAGCACTCCGGATGGGGAGGAGGCTCCTGGTGAGTGCAGCCGTTGATGGCTGGAGTAGAGTTACGCTTTTTTTTTAAAGTCTAGAAAAGGAAGATCTCATGATTTTTGTCTTTTTGAAATTGTGCAACTTAAGTGCCTGTGTGCCACCTGATGAAGTGTGAGTTATGAACTTGGTATGGTTCAGTGTATCTTATGTGATATTTAAAATTTGGTAGATGTTGATTCGAGAACCATGTGGTCCGCCTTCAAATTTATGTATTATTTTGTCCCTTAAGGTTTTATTCATTATGCCCAGAATGATTAAGTTGTTTTTTTTTGGCATGGTGTTTATTTAGGGATGCCTATTGCTAATTTTGGCAATATTTTGCGACATTCGAGAGTAGTTAACATCAAGAGCGGGAGCTTTATAGTTTCGTTATTAGTCAGTTTTAAAAAGAGAATGTAACATGGGTTTTTTTTAGTTTGAAGTCTTGATTGAAATAAATCAGCTAGTTTGTTTCTATTTGCAACAATGACGCAGGGCAACTTTTCTTGCAAAAGAAAAACCCACAAAGCAACTTATATACTTTTTAAATTCTGATTTATATTGCCAGTTACATTAACTCAGGCCTCAGTAGTAAGTTCCAACGAATGAGAATTACAGCGACGATACTGACAATGGTGATAAAACTGGCCAATCTTTTGAGTAGGTAAGGTACTCCAGCAGGGCTTGTAGATGAATCATCCATAATTCCAATGTGCCCCCAAGGTTTAGATCTGCTGCTAGTAATGTCAACAAAGGTGGTACAACTGCTAGTATTAGAACTAGAGCAAGGATAGGTTCAAGGGTAAGCAACAGGAGCTGCTTGTAGATCTAGGTGTACTGTCAGCGGACACTGGGATGGAGTTGATGGTGTTGTTTTGTGTACAGTCAAACCTTGATATACTGCGTACCTTGGGATGAGCATGAAGCTGGCAGTACAGTGGGGATGGCGGTATAACAGGATTTCACCGATTGCCATCTTGACTTGTGATAGACTGGTACTGAGAAGAGACAAACTGTAGCCAGTCTTGGCTCATCTAGATCTGTGTTGCACAATTGCCACGGACAGGGGGAAAACGAGTTGCGTCCATTTACACGTACAGCTCTAGCTGAACTTTACGTAAATTCAAACTGAAATGTTCTACTGGTTCAGAAGCTAGACTTTATGAATGGAGGAATCTGTGGATGTATAGTTTACTTTTATTCTGATACTCGTCAGTGCTCAGGCCTCCCCAGACCTTTAATGTAGTCTTAATTGTGAGTCCTCATAATATAAAAGCCTCATGGAGGCACACTAGCCTTTTGGTTGTTGGACTGTTTGTCGACACCAGACATTTTACGGCAGCAGAGTCTATTTAAATAAAGTACCCTATTGCAGAAAGCCCTCCTTAATAAATTAATTTTGGTGTAATGGGCAAATGGGTGGAAAAAGCTCAAGGTACAATCAGTCAATAATAATATTAAATTATCAAAAGTTATGCTAACGCACAGTAAACTTCAAGTCAACTCCCTTCTGCATAACAAGACCACAACAAGAAGAGACTTATTTTTGTGTGAAGAGGGTGATGTGTCCTGAACATTTATGAGTGTCCAGTCTCAGTGAGGTTCTATAAAAACATCTTTGCGATGAAAATTAAATGTTGAAGGTTTTTTAATTATCATGAGACAGTGATATATATGGAAGTCAACTTGTCTTTCCAGAACTCACAGAAGGGAGCAGAAGCTCCAGTGCCAGCGTGGAAGACCTCCTGCGAAATAGTCCAGCAAACGTCTCCAGTGACTCTCTCAGTGGCCTGGTTTCGTCCAGTGCCAGCAATATCTCCATTTCCTCTTCTGTGCGCACTGAAAGCTCTGTGGATGGAGGGGACAGTGCTTTGGGGAATTCCCACACTTCTGTGAACACTCTTGGGAATTCCCAAAGACCCAGTGAGGATTTGGGGAGTTCCAAGATGCCTGATGTCTTCAGGAGGCAGAGTTCTAGTGATATTCTGGATGGACATGACGGGGAAAGAAGGATATCGTCAGTCCTGAAAGGAGAAGGGTTTAAGCAGGTGGGTGCCACACGATCACAGAATATTGCCTTTGAAAGAAACACAATTGATTGATCAGGTCAAAGAGTCTACATAAGAAGAGGGGCCACTTCTCTCTTTGAGCCAATTAAAAAAGTGTCCTCAAAATTCGGTGGCGCCCTCTTCGCAAAAGCGCACCTTTAGCGAACAGAGTTATCCTACTTGAGTTTAAAAAATCAAAGTGAAACTAGCAAGTTTTTGAATGAATTTCGGAAGAACGCTTTTTTAAAATGGTTACGCTGACAAAAAACCTCTTCCGGAGGAAAGGGTGATTGTTTTCTTCGTTTAATTTGACTTTAGAATGAAAGGCGAGAGGTCATTAAAATTTAAAGAAACTAAAACTCCGTACTGAACGAACCCGAACTGCTGATGAACAGCAGTCGATCTGCGCACGCAAGGAGGTGCTATTCCTATTCTTCTTCTGGAAAAACGAAAGAGAGCTTCAAAACAGACTGCAGCGCTATCTGAAGCAAAGAGCATACTTCCTGCGGACACTTTTTTGGCTGAGTGGCCCATCTTGTTATTTACTATCTTTGATCAGGTGGAGAAAAGAAATTAGAAAAGTCGAATCTACATATATTAAAAAGAGGTCTGCTCTGTTTTTAATTTATGAAGATAAACAAGAGTTTAATACACATAAACCAAGAATTGTGTTGCCATTTGAATGACATTGCAAATCTGGGTCGCATCAACTTTTTTAAAAGATTCACTTCACGTAAAACTGCCCAAATCTTTCTCCCATAGTTTGGTATTGATATCACAATATTCAACAAATATACGAACATTTCTGATATTGGACAATTTGAACAGAAGTTTGAGACATTCCTATTTGCATTTTAGCATATATTACATTGAATTTCAATTTCAATTCACGGCAGCATGGGAAGAAAAGACTATCCTGATGATGACAGACTTTCAATAACTGTCTAACCAGTGTTGGGTTTTATTTGTATAAAAATTAACAGCATCCTTGTCATCATGTTGTAAAGCTTCTTTTCCTGCTCCTGCTCCTGCTCCTGCTCCTGCTCCTGCTCCTCCTCCTGCTCCTCCTCCCTCCTCCCTCCTCCTCCTATCTTTTTTTTCTTCAGTCTTCTCCACATCCTTCTTCCCTATCTGCATCACTATCGCTCCTTTTTGTGTTCGTTACTGTCTTGTAACATCCCAAATCTTCTGCACTTTATATGACCTTATTGTGTTTCAAGTGCAGTAAAACTCTAACTAAAACCAAAGCGAATCTTCTCCACTAGGTGCTGGATCATGTGGGTGTAGAGCTGGCGGACACTCTGGAGCAGAAGGAGGAGTTGTGTCAGAATGTGCTCATCGTGCTGCTCTCCATCATGTGGAAGGGTCTAGAAGGTTCTTCTCCTGAATTCTGGAAGGTAACGATTTATACTCTGTCTTCTGTGAGTTGTATGAATTTTGTGGTCTGAGTGTATTTTCTATGAAACTTTGAGTGATATTGGACTTACAAGTATGGAAGTTACAAAGATATGGAGTCATAAAGTTCTTGTTTTGAAAATTTGAGAGATATGTATTTTCCAATTTTGTCTTTCTCTAAAAGCAGCGACGGTGTTCATTTGATCTCACAAGAGGTTGTCCCCCC